CAGCAGAGTGGCCGGATACAAAATTAACTCAAAAAAATCAGTAGCACTCCTGCATACAAAAGACAAAAGGGCTGAGAAAGAAATTAGAGAAACAACACCCTTCACAATAGCCACAAATGACATAAAGTACCTTGGTGTAACCCTAACCAAGGAAGTCAAAGACTTGTATGAAAAAAATTTCAAGTCTCTGAAGAAAGAATTAGAGGAAGATATGAGAACATGGAAAGATCTCCCATGCTCATGTCTTGGCAGGATTAACATAGTAAAAATGGCCATCTTACCAAAAGCAATCTACAGATTCAATGCAATTCCCATCAAATTACCAACACAATTCTTGGCAGAATTTGAAAAAACAATTCTCAACTTCATATGGAATAACAAGAAACCCAGAATTGCTAAAACAATCCTCTACAATAAAAGATCTTCTGGAGATCTCCATCCCTGATCTCAAGCTGTACTATAGAGCAACAGTTATAAAAACTGCATGGTACTGGCATAGAAACAGAATGGTGGATCAATGGAATTGAACAGAAGACACAGAAATAAACCCACACACTTACGGACACCTGATTTTTGACAAAGATGCCAAAACCATACAATGGAAAAAAAGATAGCATCTTCAACAAATGGTGCTGGTCCAACTGGATGTCTACATGTAGAAAAATGAAAATAGATCCATACTTATCACCCTGCACAAAACTGAAGTCCAAGTGGATCAAAGACCTCAACATAAAACCAGACACATTAAATCGGCTAGAAAAAAAAGTGGGGAATACGCTAGAACTCATTGGTACAGGAGAAAACTTCCTGAACAGAACACCAACAGCACAGGCTCTAAAAGCAACAATCAATAAATGGGACCTCATGAAATTGAAAAGCTTCTGTAAAGCAAAGGACACCGTTATCAAAACAAAGTGACTGCCTACAGATTGGGAAAGAATCTTCACCAACCCTTTATCTGACAGAGGACTCATATCCAATATATATACAGAACTAAACAAGCTGAAAAGCAATAAACCAAGTAATCCACTTAAAAAATGGGGAACAGAGCTAAAGAGAGAATTCTCTGTAGAGGAATATCGTATGGCAGAGAAGCTCTTAAAGAAATGCCCAACCTCATTAGCCATTAGGGAAATGCAAATCAAAACAACCCTGAGATTTCACCTTACACCCATCAGAATGGCCAAGATGAAAAACTCAAGTGACAACACATGCTGGAGAGGTTGTGGAGAAAAGGGAACCCTTTTCCACTGCTGGTGGGAATGTAAACTGGTACAACCACTCTGGAAATCAATCTGGCGCTTTCTCAGACAACTAGGAATAGCGCTTCCTCAAGATCCAGCCATACCATTCCTAGGCATATACCCAAATGAAGCGCAAGTACACAAAAAGGACATTTGCTCAACCATGTTTGTAGAAGCTTTATTTGTAATAGCCAGAAGCTGGAAACAACCCAGATGCCCCTCAACTGAAGAATGGATGCAGAAACTGTGGCACATCTATATAATGGAGTATTACTCAGCAATGAAAAATAAGGAAATCATGAAATTCGCAGGTAAATGGTGGGACCTGGAAAGCATCATCCTGAGTGAGTTGTCCCAGAAGCAAAAAGACATGCATGGTATATACTCACTAATATAAACATACAACATAGAATAAACCCACTAAAATCTGTACATCTAAACAAACTAATCAAGAGACAGGACCCTAACTAAAATGTTCAATCCCCATCCTGAAAGGCAAAGAGGATGGACATCAGAAGAAAAAGAAAATAAGAAACAACCTCGGAACCTGCTACAGAGGGCCTCTGAAAGCCAGAAGAAAACAGGAAACAACCTTGGACCCTGCCACAGAGGGCCTTTGAAAGCTTCTGCAGTATAGACTGTCAAAGCAGATGCTGAGCCTGATGGCCAACTGATGGGCATAGTGAATGGAATTTTATGTAAGAAGTGGGAAATAATAAGAGCTGGAGGGGACGGGAACTCCACAAGGAGAGCAACAGTACAAGATAATTTGAACACAGGGAACTTCTCAGATAATCATACTCCAATCAAGGACTATTCGTGGAGATGACCTGGAACCCCTGCACAGGTGTAGCCCATGGCAGTTCAGTGTCCAAGTGGGTTACATAGTAATGGGAAGAGGGACTGCCTCTGACATAATCTGATTGGCCTGCTCTTTGATCACCTCCCCCTGAGGGGGGAGCAGCCTTACCAGGCCACAGTAGAGGACAATGCAGCCACTTTTGATGAGAACTGATAGGCTAAGATCAGAAAGAAGAGGAGAACCTCCCCTATCAGTGGACTTGGGGAGTGGCATGCATGCAGAAAGGGAAGGGAGGGTGGGATCGGCAGGGGAGGAGAGAGGGGTTTATGGGGGAATACAAAATGAATAAAGTGTAATTAATAAAAAATTTAAAAAAAAGAAGAAAAAAAAATAAACAAAAATGCAAATCAAAGAACCCTGAGATTTCACCTTACACCCACCAAAATGGTGAAGATCAAAACCTCAAGTGATAATGCATGCTGGAGAAGATGTGTATAAAGGGGAACCCTCCTCCATTGCTGGTGGGAATGTAAACTTACACAAACACTTTGGAAATAAATCTGGAGCTTTCTCAGACAATTAGGAATAGTGCTACCTCAAGATCCAGCTATACCACTCCTAGGCATATATCCAAAAGAGGCTCAAGTAATAAGGACATTTATTCAAACATGTTAGTAGCAGCTTTATTTGTTATATCCAGCACCTGGAAACAACCCAGATGTCCCTCAGTGGAGGAAATCATGAAATTTGCAGGCAAATGGTGGGATCTAGAAAAGATCATACTGAGTAAGGTATCGCAGTAGAAGACACACATGGTATATACTCACTTATAAGTGGATATTATAACATAGGATAAACGTAATAAAATCTATACACCTAAAGAAGCTACGCAAGAAAGAGGACCCTGGGTAAGATGATCAATCCTCACTCAGAAAGACAAATGGTATGGACATTGGAAAAAGGATAAATCAGGGAACAGGACAGGAGCCTAACACAGAGGGACTCTGAAAGACTCCATCCAACAGTGTATCAAAGCAGATGCTGATACTCATACCCAAACTTTGGGCAGAGTTCAGGGAATGTTATGAAAGAAGGTGGAGATTGTAAGACCTAGAAAGGACAGGAGCTCCACAAGGAGAGCAACAGAATTAAAAAATCTGGGCACAGGATTCTTTTCTGAGACTGATACTCCAACCAGGGACGATTCATGGATATAACCTAGAACCCTTACTCATATGTAGCTCATGGCAGCTCAGTCTCCAAGTGGGTTTTCTAGTTAGAAGAACAGGGAATGTCTCTGACATGAACTCAGTGGCTGGCTCTTTGATCACCTCCCCCTGAGGGCAAACAACCTTACCAGGACACAGAAGAGGACAATGCAGCCAGTCCTGTAGAGACCTGATAAGCTAGGGTCACATTGAAGGGGAGGAGAACCTCCCCTATCAGTGGACTTGGAGAAGGGCATGGGAGGAGATGAGGAAGGGAGGGTGGGGATAGGAGGGGATGAGGGAGGGGGATAGAGCCAGGATATAAAGTGAATAAACTTTAATGAATATTTAAAAAATAAAGAAAATGACCATATGATCCAGATGCACTAATCTCGAGCATACACCCAAAGCACTCTGTGTGCTACTACGGAGCTAGTTTTCCAAACACACTCATTGTTGCTCTGCACACAACAGCCAGCAAATGCAACTGCACTAGATGTTTATCCTCAGAAGAATGGATGATGAAATCATGATATAGCTAGATGATCCATAGGGAGAGAGAGAGCACAGAATTTCATTCGGCTGTAAAGAAAAATGAAATTTGCAGGAAAGTGGATGAACTAGAAAACATATTTAATTCATAGTGTCTGTAGAGACTAGGAAACTAAAATGGGGCAAAGAGATAGGGCAGGAATCCTGAAGTGAGGTTGAGATTGTGGAACACAGGGAATATGAAAACAGAGAGGGGGAGGAGATGTTTCGACAAGTAGGACAAAGATAGAGAAGAAAAGGATTGGGGAGAGAAGATCAAAGAAAATTAAGTATATATAAAGAAATCATACTGAAACCTACTACTGTACAAACTTCATGTGAAATATCTAAATGAAGGTTCCCTGCCTGACTGCATAAAGCAGCTCTTGAAAGCTGTGTGATCCAGGCTGCCCTTGTTCATTATGCTATGATGTACCCAGAAGACCGCTGTCCCACCAGATGGTAGTGCCATGCTGTTTGATCTTGCCACACACCATCATCATGAGCCACAGATATTTTTATAGCGATCGAAAATATAGTAAAACAAGAGAAATACAAGGGGTGTTTGCAATCCTATAGAAAGAATTTTTGGCTTAAATTCATGTAACAAATTATGTTATTTGTGTTTTTATCATCAAAGTTTACAATAGCACAATTACTGACAGTTATTTAATAACTATTGATACTCGCCTTTATGTTTTTATATACTAATATGCAATGCAGGTCAGACATATGGGCTTCCAGAGTATACAGTTTTTGACACTGCTCTAAAAATGCCACACAATATTTGTAATCGAAAAATGCAAAGTCATTCCCTCTTGAGGGGAAGATAGCACTTATAAAACTGAAAGAGATGCAAAATGAACTTTTAGGACTTTGGGGTCATCTAAGTTCTGTTTGACAAACTACACTCTACACCATCAGATGCTGCCAGTGAATGGTGGACTTGGAACTGGAGGAGGGACACATTAACTTCTTGTTTGATTTATTGTTGCATATCACCATGAGTTAGCAAAGTGTTGTAAGCAACTATTAATATTTACTATTGGTTTATCTTCTTGTAATGCTTGCTGTTAATTTTAAACAGCTGTATAACCAAATCACACAGAGACCGGGCTTTTAGTTAACCTAGAACACAATGCTGGGCAATATTTACTCCCTCCTAAACCTCCAAGCCCTCAGTTTCCTAACATTGATTTCCCACATTATACTTGCTTTTTGTGAAATCTTAGGTCTGGTTCATGCTCCAAGTCCTCCAAGATCTCTCTTCCAGCTCAGCTCTCCTTGCTCTCCTCTAGCTCTCCTTCTCCTCCCACTTATCTTCTGCCTTTTGGCTCCTCCCCTCTTTCCTGTCCTCTGGCTCCTCCCTACTCAGCATTGTGTCTAGTTGCTTTTATTTTGTTCCTGTTTACACAACAGTTGAGACAGGATGCTTAGAATGAGTATCACAATGCAATATCCAGATTGAAACCAGAGAGTTGGGGGTGGGGAAATCATCATTTGAATTAACAACGGTAAGGCATATACATTTTAAAAGAACATTATATCAACAGCAAGGACAGCCAATGTGAAAGCAGCCTTTGCATTGCACCCAGATACCTACAAAACTTACCTGGGTCCATCTACTGATGCCGGTGGGTGATGTCTGACTTTAACCCAGGAAGTTGAGTAAACATGCTGATGTGGCCATGGATTACAGCCATCGGATCACTATCAGCAAACTCTGCATGAACTTGTACTGAGATCCTGAGGTGAAATCAGTTCTTACTGACCCCAGCAAACAGGACTCCTTTAATTTGAGATTTTCTCTGTGTATTTGATGAAACAGGAATTTGAAGATTGCATCACTACAAAATGGGTCTTAAGTAAGTACATGAGTATTAAAAGTAATGATTTCAGAAATAGTATTCACAATTCTCAAAGGACTTTGCAGAGTAATTAAATATTCTGAGCAGCATTGCAGACACTCATGACCAAGCCATCAGATTCAAACGTTGACATTATTCTTGAAGGTGCCACTAGTCAGTGTTTTGAGTTCATGGCTGAGACATTTAAAATACTTTTTTAATGTATACTTTCTGTGAGTCTTTCCTAATTATATGGTGGGGAAGCACAGTGGACGACTCCCTCTCCATCTTTTGTGCTGTTGTTCTGTCAGAGTTAAGTGAGTAGATGATATTCATATAGAGAGTAAAAGTACAGTTTATGTGTTCTGTTTTTGGTTTTTGGTTCCAATACTTGATGAGAAGAGATGAAAATAATTTTGTAGTGAAGTTCTAGGTAAACTTTAGATGGGTGATATATAATCTTAATATTTCTGTTCCTGTGAAGGTGAACTTTATGTTGTTCTTTTAATCAAAATTCTGGATTTTTGTAGAACAATCAGGGAATCTGCTGTGAAATTGTATCTCCTAGCAACATAAGAACTTATATCCATAAAAGTGATCACCAACATGAACTCCTAAACATGAGTTGAAAAAGGAGAACAACAACAGACATGCCCCACTCCATACACAACACACAAAAGATCAACCCTACAGCTGCAGGAAACTAAGGAATGCTGAGTGTGGGAGAATTGTCTTCCCCAGGTCAGAACACACCAATTGGTTATGTAATACCAAATGGTCATCCCTGAAAACATACATACATACAAGACTTAGCTGGTTATATTTAGGAGTGTGAGAGAGATGAAAAGCAAGGAAGACAGAGGAAAAAAGAGAGAAGAGAGAGATCATGCATATAACATTTAAAATCTACATAAGAGAGGAAACATGTAATACTCTCTTTCTTAGCTTAGCTAATTACTCTAATATAATGAACTTGTTTTGTCCATTTTCCGGAAAAGGACATGACTTCATTTATTAAGGCTGAAACACTCTTACGTATATAAAGTACTTTTCCTTTGTTCTCTGTGCTAAAACCTAAGCTGTTTCCACAACTTAACTAATGTGAAGAGGGTTAAAACATTGATGTGCTTACATCTCTGTGATGTGCAACCTTGGAATCACAGAAGTTCATGTCCAGGAATGGTAAAGTTAGGTCACAGATAGTCTAATTTAGCTGTGTTCCATTATTTGCTTGTTTTGGTTTTTTTTTTTGTATGTTTGTATGTCGTGTGTGTGTGTGTGTGTGTGTGTGTGTGTGTGTGTGTGTGTAAACAAATATGAAATACAACCTGCTTGGTCTAAGGGAATTTTATGAAAGAGGGAGTAGAAAGATGGTAAGATTCATATTGCCAGGAAGTCTGTTGTTAAACAGTCTCTCCTAGAGACGCTGCATAAACAGGACAGAAACAATGGTTAAGATCGTTGGACATGTTAACATGAAAGGGTAAATCTCAAGAGGTCCCTCTACTAGACAAAGAACTACAAACAACTATTGACTTTTGGGAGGAAGAGACTTAGCATCTCCCAGGAATGAGTCCCTTTGTTGGTTGTCCTGATCAGAGTGGTCAGCACTGAAACCATGAGCACACAACCAGAAAAATACGGTCTTCTGAGAACAGTGTGTTCCCATCCTTTGCCCTTTTACTAATTACGCCACCTCTTAATTTTAGTGTTAAGTTTGTGCACTCAGTGTATTCTGTGCATCAGTCCTCTGTCAGGAATGCAGCCGGCAGGGTTTTCTCTCCTTTCTTGGCTGTGTTTTGTCTTCATGGTAGCATTTGCTGTGTAGAAGCTTTTTAATTTCAGGCAATCCCACTTGTCAGTTCCTGACTTCATTTCTTACCTATGAGAGTTCTTTTCAGAAAGTCCTTGCCTAACACCATGTCTTGAAATATTCCTCTTCTTTCCTGTACTAGTTTCTAAGTTTAAGTCTAACATTAAGGTTTTTAGTCCATTTTGAAGACCTTTGTGTTCAGGGTGAGAAATACAAATCTAGGATCAACCTTACACATGTGGGTGTAATTTTTCTAGCACCATTTATCGCAAAATTTTCATCCAGTGTATGATTTTCTCATCTCTTTTCTAAAAGTGATGCTGGTGGGAGCTGTGCGTGTTCGTTGAGTCTAGTCTCTTGTCTCTAGTCTCTAGAACTACATCTCCATTTTGTGCTAGTATCATGTCACTGTAGTTACTACGACTATGCAGTGTAATTTCAAATTAGACACGGTGATACTTACTGCATTTTTTTTCCTCAGGACGACATTGGCTATTTGGGATCTTCTGATCTTTCATGTGAGTTTTGGGATGTTTTCTACTTCTGTGAAAAGTATCATCTTTTTGTTGATAAGAATTGGGCAGAATCTTTACAGTGGTTTTGTTAGTAAAGTAATTTGTACAATATTAATTGTCATAAAAAGAAAGGCCTTTCCATTTTATAGTGCCCTTTCAATTTTTTCCTTCAGTGTTGTAAATTTTGCACTATATTGGTCTTTCCCCTTATCCTTTTGGTGAGGTAATTCTTATGTTATATTTCAGTGGTAGTGATGGTGTTTCATTGCAAAGCTGTTTTGAATAGAATTTTTTTTCAATTTCATCTTCAGAATGCGCATTATTGACTTAAATTACACCTCCTGTTTTCTCATGTGTGGTTTTGTGTGTGCTTTGCTATGTATACTCATATGTGCATTGTGTGTGTGTAGCACATGTATGTGTATGTGTGGAGGTCTGGGGTTGATACTATGAGTCTTCCTCAATCACTCTCCATGTCTTTTATTAAGTCAAAGTACATCATTTGAACACAGACCTCACCGACATGGACTAGTCTAGCTAGCTGACTTCATCTGCAGTTTCCCTGTCTCCATCTCCTGAACAATGACATACAGGTGGATGTCCACATGCATCTGGGTTTACTCTATTTCTTATGCTTGATTGACAAGTGCTTTCACTGCTGAGTCATCTGCTGATATTTTTATATTGATTTTGTGTAAAATCACTGCTGAAAGTTCATTGCTTCTAAGAGTTGGATAATGGATTATTAGGGTCTTTTACATAGATGATCATACAATATGCAAATAGCAGAAAACATTTTTATTTCCTACTTTAATCCATTTTATTTCTTCCTCTTGTATTTTTGCTCTAGCTAAGTTTTTTATAATTTTTATTTTATTTTTTTTCTTTACAATTTATTCATTATATATCCCAATTGAAGCCCCATCCCTCGACTTCTCCCAGTCCCACCCTGCCTCCCTCTTCCCCCATCTCCTTCCCCTAGTCCATTTAAAGGGGGAGTTCTTCACTATTGCCAACTGCCCATAGCTTCTTAAGTCTCATCAGGACTATGTGGATCCTCCTTCTCCTTGGCCCGGCAAGGCCGCATCATCAGAGGCAAAGTGATCAAAGAGCAGTCAGCTGAGTTCATGATAGAGGCAGTCCCTGCTCTCCTCACTCAGAGATCCACGTGCAGACTGAGCTGCCAATCTGTCACATCTGAGCAGGGGGTCTAGTTCCTCTTTATGCATGGTCCTCCATTGGTGCATCAGTCTCTGTAGGAATCACTGGGTTTGAATCTTTATCTAGCTAAGATTTTAAGGACACTATATTAAGTACACATGGACAAATTGGCCCATGTCTTATGCCTGATCTCAGTGGTAATACTTGTGTTTCAATCGTTTAGTATATATTATCTACACATTAAATATATATGTATATATATCTCCTTTTTATAGTCCTTTAACTCACAATTTCTTGAGGGCTTTCATGGTGAAAGAATTTTGGATTTTCTAAAGGATATTTCCCATCACTTGAGAAAATATTCCCAGCAGCAATGGAGGAGGGTTCCACTTTCTCCACAACCTCTCCAGCATGTGTTGTCACTTGAGTTAGTCATCTTAGCCATTCTGATGGGTATAAGTTTAAATCTCAGGGTCATTTTGATTTGCGTCTCCCTGATGGCTAAGGATGTTGAGTGTTTCTCTGTCATTCTATATTCCTCTATAGAGAATTCTCTGTTTAGCTCCGTAGCCCATTTTTTAATTGGATTACTTGATTTATTGCTTTTTAACTTCTTTAATTGTTTTTATTTGCTGGATATCAGCCCTCTGTCAGATATAGGGTTGGTGAAGATCCTTTTCCAGTCTGTAGGCTGTCGTTTTATTCTGACAACAGTATCTTTTGCTTTACAGAAGCTTTTCAGTTTAATGAGGTCCCATTTAATCCTCACTTGGAAAGACAAATGGGAGGTGCATTGGAAGTAGGAGAAAACAAGTAACAGGACAGGAGCCTACCTCAGAGGTCCCCTGAAAGACTCTACCTAGCAGTGTATCAAAGCAGATACTAAGACTCATAACCAAACCTTCAGGAGAGTGCAGGGAATTATATGAAAGAAGAGGGAGTTAGTATGACATGGAAAAGAT